CACATTGTTGGCTCATGTCCAGCTTTTCATCTACCAGTACCCCCAAGTCCTTCTCCACAGGGCTGCTCTAAATCTCTTCATCCCCCAATCTGTACTGATATTGGGGGTTGCCCCGTCCCAGGTGCAGGACCTTGCACTTGGCCTTGTTGAACCTCATGAGGTTCACACAGGCCCACCTCTCCAGCTTGTCCCGGTCCCTTTGGATGACATCTCATCCTTCTGGTGTGTCAGCCGCACCACTCAGCTTGGTGTCATCTGCAAACTTGCTGAGGGTGCACTGGATCCCACTGTCTGTGTCATTAATAAAGGTATTAAACAGCACTGGTCCCAGTATGGACCCCTGAGGGACCCCACTTGTCACCGGTCTCCATGTGGACATTGAGCCATTGACCACGACCCTCTGGATGCGACCATCCAGCCAATTCCTCACCCACTGAACAGTCCACCCATCAAATCCATATCTCCCCAATTTAGAGAGAAGGATGTTGTGGGGGACCGTGTCGAAGGCTTTAGAGAAGTCCAAATAGATGACATCCATTGCTTTTCCCTTGTTTACTGATGCAGTCACTCCTTCACAGAAAGCCACTAGGTTGGTCAGGCAGGACTTGCCCTTGGTGAAGCTGTGCTGGCTGTCCCGAATCACCTCCCTGTCCTTCATGGGCTTGAGTATAGCTTGTAGGAGGATCTGTTCCATGATCTTCCCAGGCACAGAGGTGAGGCAAACAGGTTGGTAGTTTGATAGTAATATGTGTCCCAGGGGAGCAGTGGATGGTTGCATGGGGAACCTGGTTTGGGATATTTTCTGATTTTGGGGAGGTTGAATCTGCAAGTTTAATGGCCTTCTGACACAGTGTTTAGGAGCAAACTAGGGGTGGTGTTTTATATGGATTTTTCTGTGCTCTTAGGGCAGTAAAAACCAGAAACAAATATTTTGGGTTCCACACGAGTGGAACAGTGTAGTTGTCAGTTCTTGTCTGGAGATACTGTCAGCTATACATCTTTGATTAAATATGTGGATTGGTATTTAGTATCTGTCTCAGATGCTTTTATATGTTCCCTCATAACTCTACTTTATGTTAGGGAGATGTATTTTGCAGATGGAAAGTGGAGGACAGTTCTGGGCCTGAGATCTCTTCCAGTCATAGGTGGGTGTTCAAAACAGCGCTCTGACCCTCCTTGCGGTTTATTTTGAGGATGTATGTGTATGTGGTTAATCTTCTGGTTAAGTTATTTCAGGGTTTAGCCATTAGTAGTTGATCATTGTCACACTAGAAGTTTTTCTTTTGATATGTGTCTCATGAATCTTGTTCTGCTTTCAGATGCGGTGAAGAGCCTGTATTTTCCCCTGTGCCGTATATAGTGCCTTAAAAAATGGGGTTTGGAGGTGACCTGAAGTATTCTCATGATGCTTTATTAAAACTGCAAGACTGGGAACTACGACTGCTGGAAACGGTGAAGAAATTTATGGTAATGCGAGTAAAAAGTGATAAGGAGTATGCCTCCACTTTACAGAATCTTTGTAATCAAGTAGATAAAGAGAGCACTTGTCAATTGGATTATATCAGCAATGTGTCCAAGGTAAGACTGAAGTATTTTGAATTTGGAATTTCCTTGGAAATAACAGTGCTAGATTTATTTTTGTTTGTTTTAGTTTGAGTTGGATTCCTGTTGATTCAGCTCTTTAGAGTTAAGGTTGCCAAAGTATTTAAAATGGGCTCCTTTTAGTTCTTTGGTGGAATATGCGGAAGTTGAGCTCCAGTCTTGCTTTGAAAATAACAACTGAACTAGAATCAATCTTGAATTCTGAAATTCAGTATTTTAGGTTCCTGGGTTGACCCTGCTATTTTGTTTAGTGTTTTGAAAATAGAGTATGCTATAGTAAGCTTTTCTTTTAAGACAGTTAAATAGGAACTATTGTTTATGTTATATAGAATTTGTGACAGAAATAGAAAAATGCCAGGAAACCGAGGCCAAGCCTAGCATTCCAGCTGTTATTCACACTGCAGTGTGTGTTGTAAAAACAAAATGTTAATTCAGGATGTTTCTCATGATTGCGAAGTTATTTTGTATCCAATTTAAAACAACTGTGTTGACTTTTTGTAAAGGTAAGGCTGTCCTTCCCCTAAATTACTAATTTTCAGATTTAGAGCAAGTCCAGTAAAGGTACTGATGAAGCAAACTTCCCTATTTCACCTGTTTGTAAGCTTCATTCCTGACTTGGATTCCTTCCTGACTAGAGAAAACTAGTTTGCTTTAATGGCTTATTCAGTTCTTGGCCCTTCTGCTGTAGCAGTGGCTACACAGTCCCTTCAGTCTCACATGAATCCTGATCTCCTCTCTGCAGGAAAACATCCTTTCTGCGTCAAGCTGAATTTTAGACACAGCAGTTTTTACGTAGTGGGCTTATGGGGTGCCTGCTTGAATACTAGCTATGGCATAGCATTAGGAACGTGACTTCTCCTTGTACAGCAGTCTAAATTTATACTGGATTAAAACGGCTGGATGTGTGACTTGAAAGCTGCGGTGCTATAGCTAGGCTGCTTCAGCTGTCCCAAAAGTAGTACTGCACAGTGTTTATCTATAACAAATTCTGCTGTTGTTTCCCTCCTCCACAATAAATCTTATCTTGGAAATTGTCATACTACCTTTTTTTTTTTTTCATCTGTGTGTTTTGGTGGTGTATTTGAAATGCTTGTCACCCAATTATGTATCTTATACACAGTTTGTTATAGACTTTGCTATTTCAGTTGTGATGATTTTGGTAAATAAACATTAAAGTATTGCCAGTAGCCTAAGGTTGGCAGAGGTCAGGTGTTTTCTTCAAGCTTTCTGATGTTGGATGCCAAAGTTTTTATACAGAATTATTGGTGATATGACTAATATGTCTTGCTATTACTGCCCCACTAGAATTGCTCTTAAGTGCTAGCTAAACTGTCTTGCAATTCTTTTAGGTGATGAAACAGAGCAGATTAGGGCTAGAACAGCACAGGAGCCATTGGCATCAGAATATTTAGATTTATAAGGTGTAAGCAACCCTTAACCTTCATGTAGCTAGCTCAGTCTAGGATGGTTCATGTCAGTGACATGAACACTATGTGTGAGCAAATAAATTTTAAAAAGTTGAAGATCTGACTTAAGCCGTGTTCTTTTTGGGTTGAAGACAGGCATGTGTGTCACATTTTGAAATCTTGTTTTGGACATAGGCCCTCAAGTTATTCTTTCAGGAATATTTTTGTTCCTTTTTCTTTTTTTTTTTTTTTTTTTCTTTTTTTTCTCAAGTTTTTTTTTTCTTTTTTTTTTTTTTTTTTTTTTTTTCATTTTTCTCTCAAGTCCCATCCTTGATCTCTACATCTTTATATAATAGCAAAAATTTTCATATGCTAGTGACAGATTTTTTGTATGGGCTTGCCTTGAAATTTCACTGTCACCTTGGATATTAAAGTTGTGTAGTGACACATTGTCTTATTTGTTTTGGCAGTTAAAATATCTGAATTATTGATTACTCACCTCATTCTAATGTACTTTACTATTTCACTATTTACTTTTCCTCTCTTCCTGACATTTTACAGAATCAAAGTATGACCCAAATACTATGGGACATAAATCTAGTACCTTATATCTCCTAAGAGTTAAGATACCTGTATATTAAATTTTTGGTATTACGTGGCATCAAAACCAAATACCAAGCTGTCTAATCTTTTATGTTTTGGTTTTGTGTGTGGGGTTTTTATTTATTTATTTATTTATTTTTTATTTTCAACTGTACAGCAAGAGTGAGCACTTTGAGAGAAATAGTGTTTGGGAAAATCTGTCCTATGTTTTTTTCATGCAGAAGCAGCGAACTTGCTGGAAGGCATAGTGGCAGCAACTGCTAGTGCTAGAAAAGCACTGTTTTCAACTGCTTCCCAACAGCTCTTTTGTGTGTGTATATGTCTAAAAAAATACTGTTAAACCAAACAATATTATATTTTATTGCTTTTGCTGGATTGTGGTTATTTTCTGTGAAAGGAAATGCTTTGCCTTTTCTGCTGTCCCCACCCAGCTGCTTTTCTGTCCCATATAAATCTCAATTTTTTAAGCCTTTCCTCAAGTGTAACTTTTCACTTTAGCTTTTCCTATTTTAAAATAATAAAATATAATCATACAAAACACAGAAATCCTGTTTAACCGATGTTTTCGCAGTATGGAAGGAGGGATGTAAGGAACAGGAAAATATGCACATGATTTTTTTTTTAAATAGAAAGGGAAGTTTTTGCTATGTTTCTGACTTACTGTGAATTGTAAGCTAAGTATTTCTTTTCGAGTACTTGTCCTGTTGAAAAATGCTTTTGCTGTGATTTTCAGGGTTGATTGAAATAGTACTTGTCTCATCAGTAATAAATCAGCCTTAAAGAAAATGGAGAACTCTTACTACATTTTCACTTCTGAGAGCACTCTGATGAACTCTTCTATAATCACAAGACCCACTCCCCTCAGACAGGTGTTTAATGATGGTTTCATCCTATGCAGCTTTGCAATATGGCTTGTGATACCATTTGGAAAGTGTTGGAGAGGTGAAACAGTTTTCAGCCATAGCTGGGAAGCTTTAGGCCGTGACCTTTTACAACGCCACACTTTAAGCAGTCTGAGATAGGACTGTGCTTGTCTGTGGGATATTTATGAGCTAAAGGAAATGTTAAAGATGGTTTAATATGTACAGGAGTTAACTGTCTTTCGTTTCCTTCTCTAAAATCCAGTTTGGGTTGCAGCATTGTCATGTAGAGAATATGTTTATATATGAGATGTAAGGAAACCCCAAAGCTACCAAACAAATCAATTTTCTAAGTTTTGATGATCTAAGATGGATTTCTGTGTTTAGTAAGAGTAAGATAAATGCTAGTAAAACTAGCATACTACCTGCCTTCAAAACCTGGTAATTGTATGACATGTAGCCATTCTGAAATTTTAGATATAGCATAACATTTAATGTCAGGGAGTTATCTCTAAGGAATCCAATACTGATCCCATCAACAAAGTGTGACAGGGATCTTTAGGGTAACAAATGATTTGATTTGAACGGAACTTTAATTTCTTGTCCATATCTGTGGTGCATTGGAAGTCTCTCTATTCGCCTTACAGTTCTTAATCAAAATTCAAAGCCACACACAGCACATTAAGCTGTCCTGAAAACTGACTGACAGAACGGCCAAGGAAGTTATTAAAGTAAGGGTGCAGAAAGATGGGCTACTATGACAGGCAAGTAACTGCTTGTGTCTCTTAACCTGTTAGCACCTTATGCTTTGATACTGGTGGCCTGACTCCGTTGCTGTCAGTTATGTGAAGCAGCACATGAATGGTAACCTCTTAAACAGTAGGCACTCAAATGCATATTACTGTGAGGTATTTGGACAAGGGCAGAGAAGTCAGCTTGAACAGAGTGACTGTGGCTAGGAAACGGAAGACCAAAGGACACGGGAACATGCTTGTCAGGGGTGTCGGGGATGTATTCCAAAAAAGGCTGTAAAGCTTTTATCGTTGTTCAGAGGTACGAAGACAGTGCTGAAGGGTGACCACACAATATTGTATTTTTGTCTCTGGTGCTTTTTTATTATTTTATGAGTAAGTTTGAGGCATGATTTTGCTGTAGCAGGAAGAACTTTATTTTAGAAGATCTTAAGTGCATTTGGGTAAGTTCAAAATTCTTTTTTTACTGAATTGTTTTAAACAGTGATGCATCTTTTCCCACAGTTCATGTTCATCGTTTGGTTATTTGTAAGCCAGAATAAGTTAAGTGCTTTTCTGATGTGACTTTTTTTTTATAGTCTTGGTTGCTTGTGGTACAGCAAACAGAACAGCTGAGCAAAATAATGAAGACACATGCAGAGGATCTTAATTCTGGGCCTTTGCATAGGCTTACAATGATGATCAAAGATAAGCAGCAAGTTAAGAAGAGTTATGTAGGTGTTCATCAACAAATTGAAGCAGAGATGTACAAGGTATTTTATTCAACTGTGCTTTATTAATTTATGATAGTTTTGTATGTTTAAAAAGTGATATATTGAGAGCAGTTTTTTTTAGTTCCTCTGTTTTTGTTTGTGCTATGGTAAAAATAGTGATTTGTGATACGTAGAATGCCTAGTTTAAATTTTAGTTATTTCCTTCACATTTTCTCTCCCCTGCTAGGTGGCAAGGCAGAGATGGAAAACTTTCTTCTATATTAATTTCTATTGACAGATAGCACTGGAAATGCCCTTGTTCCAGTAGAGGATGATTCTCTGTCACACTTCTCTATTCCATCTCTCTTCCTGTTCTCATTCGGCTCTAGACATCCCTGGAACCAGGGCGCTGAAAACTTTTGTTAATGAATGCTCTTGACAGTCCAGACTGCTTTGGGAGGGGACAGGGTTTCTAGTCCCTGTCCTAAAATATAAATCAAGTATAAACCAAACATTAAGGCTGCAGATGGAACTCTTCAGTGCCTTTTCTATTACATGTCAGTTGTCCTGCTTATGTTGAAAGCCCTGTATCTAGTCAGTAAAGCTGACGGAAGTTACAGTTTCATTCAGGTGCTCTGAGGGAAGTTTTACTGCAAATGTCAAAAATCAGAGCGGTAGTCTGAAAGGTCTACTGAGAGAAGAAAAAGCACTGTTTCTTCCTTCTTCCAGCAGAGAATTTGAGATTTGGAGTAGTGTAATTGAAATGTAACACCTGAGTAGTACAGTACAGATGTCATGGACTGATGAGTGAAAGATTCTTGGGCCAATTATGAGAACTTTAAACCAGTACTAAACATATATTGAGTTAAATATGTTGGCTCTGATAGGTCTGCTTCCATAATATGCTAGGATCTTGGCATCTTCCCCAGCTATTAACTGTGGGGAGTACATCCTTTTTCATGCATGGTCAGTAGGCTGTCTTACCTGATAAAATTTCCAAGCCAAATAATCACTCACAGACACTTATGGATTGGTGCATCTGAAAATCGTCAGGGTGGAAGAAGAGGAAAAACTGGTAGCATACATTAGAAATAATAGAGGTTAAATATATAAATAATTGGAGAAATGGAAAAAGAAAGAAATGTAAGAAAGAGAGGCTAGATGAAACAAGACTGCTGGGAAGTTCAGGTGTACTTTTAAAAAGACACTGTGCAGAACATGTTTTTTTCTGTTAATAAGTTAACTCTAATAAAATCTCTAATAAAACTGTCTTTTAAAATATGCTTTTTCAAAAAAATATAGTGCATATTAAGCACTCCCCAAATGATTAATTACAAACCATATTGATTTTAATTAATTATGGGCTGCATGACCATGCAAATATTTTGCATCCTGATGAATAAGCTTGTATTGTTGTTCCCCCCCCTCCCCCCTTTCCTGATTTTCCTAAGAAGCATTTGAATAGCATTCTGATTAGACATGATATGTTCTTTCATTGTCAGCTGACATTGTTTGTTCAAAGGTTTTGTGTCACTGGAGCACTTGCAGAATGGTTCCCAGAAATTCAAAATACTTTTCATGTTCTGTGGTATTATTTCTGCCTTTGTTACACACAGAAGCAAAATACTTGTCACTTCCCAGGACGTTATCCAAACCTGTGAAGATCAGTGTCTATGCAGTTCATATCTTTAGGATATGTTGGCAAAAAAATGTGTTTTCCTTTAAGTGAAATGCATATGTATCATCCTTTCTTATTCTAGACACCTCTACAATGAGGAGTCTTTTTGATAAAATTCTTAAGGACAATGAAATACCATGTCATTTACATAAATATAGTAAAACTTGTAGATTTATTCCAATTCCCATTAAGATACTGGATATTTTTTCTTTCTTCGTGAATTTTGAGGGAAAAAAGTAGAGTACTATGCTAGTTATGTGGGCAAGACTGTTTGATATAAAAACTGGATTTAAGATAATCCTTGACCATCTTAGTTCCTTAAGTGTTATTTGGACCCAGAGGTGCTTTTGGTTTTGTTTTTGTCTGTTGAAAGAACACAGTCTAAGAATCAGTAAAATATATTTTGCAATTATTACAAAGGTTTCTTAATACTAGTGGCCTACCTTGTATTTTCCAGTTTTCTATAAGAGAAGCAGTTCCTTGTTATTTATGTCTTAATTGTGTTCACTACTTCCTAATTTCATCTTTTTCTCCGTTTCTCAACGTGTCTTCATAATAGAAGTTTGTCATGAAGTTATTTTTTCATGTATCACCTCTACTAGTCTATAATAACAACAGTTGTGAGTATAATTTACAGTGTGTAGTAATACGAGATGAGAATATAGGATTGATGTGGAGAAAAGTTCCTGCCTTTAAATTAGAAGTTTGCACAGTTGGCCCAGAAATAGAAACTGTAGATAGCACTCTGTTGGCTCTTTGAGGAATTCCGTTAAGTTTTGAGATGTTGTTCTTGAGGGTGAAATTAGTGGTATCTGGGCCTTGCCTCATGAGAAAAAGGAGAATTGTGAATGCCAGCCTTCATGCCAGCTGCAAGAGGAACAGTTTTTCTGTAGAACAGACTTCCTTTTCTGCACATTCAGTGAAAGGAACACTTCCATTAAATTAAGTTCCTCTCCCACAATTTCCCATTGTGAGTGTATTTTTCTTTTTGTCAGAGTTTTTGCTTTTCTTTACTATTTATGCCACCTTTTTGGTATTGTAGTGGCTGTTTTATTACTAGCTTTTGTTTGCAAGTTCATGATTTGTGATTATTTCTGAACAGTGCACTAATTTTGTCACACAGTGAATGAAAGTTGGGGATAGAAGAGACAACTTTATTTTAATTTTTTGACCAAAAATGTCATGTTCAGTGGAGCTGCTTCCACTACAAAAAGATCCTTCAGTGCTGTGTTCCACTATAGCTTGGGTTTTTTGTTTGTTTGGTTTGGTTTATCCCTTTTTAGGGATTTAAGTCTTACAACAGATTGATTAGTTCATGCACAGTTGCTGTTTCTAAGCTGTTTGTATGAACTCTAGTATCTAAAAATTTTTCTATCTTGCTTTTTTTCTAAGATGCTGAAGGATTTCCTTCCTATGCATAGAACTTTTTCATCTAGTATGATTTATTAAGCATCCTTTTCGTTCTTTTTTTTCCTTGTCATTGAAATTGAGTACAGTTTATGATAAGCTGGATTTCCGAAACATATCTTTCATTACACTGAGGTGGATGGGGATCTCTGTTTCAGGCCTCTTATTTCATTCCATGCATTTATTGATTTTGACTTTGTTAAACCATGTAATATCCTATTAAGATTATCTCAAGCCAATGCAAAGTGGTAACATCCTTATTTTGGAAAATAAATCCTATTAATTTCACTAATGCTATGAGATTTTTTTATATGTATATATGAGGATAAGTATTTTTAATACTTTCTGTATTTCTGTTTTCTTAAAGGTCACAAAGACAGAACTAGAGAAACTGAAATCTAGCTATAGACAACTAATAAAAGAAGTAAATTCTGCCAAAGAAAAGTATAAAGAAGCTGTGGCTAAAGGTATGACTGACTTGTGTTAATTTCATCTATTTATTAGTGCCTTTTTCAAACCTGCTAAAACTCTTACAGTGAAACAGGGTAATGTTTTTATTTTGAGCAACTCCATTACAGTATAAAAGCTCATTTTGTATCTTAAGACAGACAGGCTAATTGTCATCATAAGTACTTGGTGGTACTCTTTAAAACTCATAAAATAAAGGATAGCCCTTCTTTTAATATAAATGATAATCCTTTTAAGTTCTTCTATTATTCCTTCAGTGGATGTATTTGAAATATCAAATTGCTCAAATGAACTGTTGATACTGGTAAGTGGGTTGCAATTCCGTCTCATCTACCATGTAGCTGCAGCCTACTTACATCCTATGACCTATTATGGTTGCTGCAGTGACATCAGCATCAGTTCTTGGCAGTTAGTATAATGGATCTGACCTTTGTCAACCTTAAGCAAAAGAGGAGAAGAATTCATTTGCACAGTGAGATATTTTAAAGATGTTTGGGGAATGATGTGTCCAAACTGCATGGATTGTGATTCTTGTTGAATTGTGCTAATGATGAGATAAAGGAGAGCCTTTGTTCTATGATATACTGAAATATCTTGTTAATAATTTTTCTTATGTGCCTTTCTGAGACTTTTTCCCTTTCTTTCGATGGCAGCTTATAAATATAATTCCAAGATCCATCTTAAGTTTTTGTATGACTGCCTAAAATGACAGTTATTGTCCTTGGTTCTGTTGTACTATAATTCACTGTGCAATACAGTAGCTATCAGTGCTGAGGCAAAGATTTTTTCTTTCCAAATTTGTCTAAAATTTGGAGCAGTAGCCGATATGTGAATATAATGACAAAACAGCATGGGATAAGATAAATTATACTTAGCACTGTTTAGCTTCAGCTTTTTTTTTTTTTTTCTTTTACTGATGTTCATATTCACTTAAAAATGTAAAGGCATACTCACTTCATTTCATCCAGTTCCCTAGCTGTTTTCTACATATAACATTAATTTGGCTATTTGGTTTATCCGCAAGTACTTAACATGGAAACATATAGTATGTACCATGGAAAATATAATAGGCTGCTGTGATCTCAGTATGTTCTTTTTATCCCATCGTCCTGTTACAGCTCTGATCATTCTCCATTCCTGAAGCACCAAACTTTCCTGTTGAAATCAAAGAGTGTTTTGGCTGTCAGCAGCTGTGATGTTTTGATGTGGTTCTGATTAATTAAAGTAACATTTCATTAGATAGACAGCAAACACAAGCTGTTTTTCATAGAATCATAGAATGGTTTAGGTTGGAAAAGACCTTTAAGATCATCCAGTCCAACCATTAACCTAACACTACCAAGTCCACCACTAAACCAATTAAGGGTAGAGTAATAATTAATTTCATGTTTCCTGGCTTGGTGGCTGGGTTTTTTTTTAATTAAAGTAAAAACTAGGAATCATTAAGATTGGAAAGGATCTCTAAGATATCAGGCCAACCATTAACCCAACACCACCATGCCTACTAAACCAAGTCCCCAAGTGCCACATCTTCATGTTTTTTGAAGACCTCCAGGGATGGTGACTCCACCACCTCCTCCCAAAAATTGCAGAATTGATTCTCCCCTGCCACACACCAGGCTGTGTTCTTTTTACAAATATTTGTGTAGTTGGTGAACTACTACAGTTGTATATCAACTGCAGGTCAGCTGAGCTGTTTGAATTTTTTTAAGCCATGGTATTTCCATAGAGTTTCTGAGCCCTCAAGTTGTCAAACTGGTTTGTGAAGTGAAAAATTTAGGGGAGTCTTAAAATTATAATGCTTCATTAGTCCAGGCATTAGTTCAGTAACTAGTTCTTATTCAAATTATGTGCGATTAGGAAATATGACTTGTTAAAATACAAACTGGTTCAGTTTTTCAGGATTTCAAGAATTGTTGCAAACAAGTGAAGGAACAGTGCCTACCAGAACAGTGGGAGGGCATAACCAAGTGTTGGAAATAAGCTGAGAAATGTTTTGTTAAAAAAAAAAAAAATTAAAATCTTCGGACACCGCCTCTTGCAAGAAGCATGTTAAAAGAACCCGTCCAGGTCCACTTCTGTAAAATGCTGTCCTCAACAGACTCTGTTCCTCTCTGTAAACCAAGTCTCCATCACAGTGCCTGGCCCTGCCTTTCTGGAGCTGAAGGGGACAACTACTTCTTAGGAAATAGTACTTTGTCTTTGCCTCTGGGCTTGTGTATGATGATTTACCTGGAAATTTGTGCGGTACCCGTACAAGCTGGTCACCACGAAAAGAATGCGAGTCACACAAAGGAATGACTTAGAAATGTCTCTGTTTTGCAAGTGTAGTGATTTTGAAATTTAGTGACTTTGTTTTGTTTTGTTTTGGAATAGCAAAGCCATCTTCTAGTGAGAGAGCAAGTTTACCAGAGCCGCTAGTGAAAGAGATACAAGTGGTTCTCTAGTTTAGGAAGAGAATTGTTTCACTGTTTTCTGGTTGAGTTGTTAAAAGTGATATTAAATTCTGGGCTAAACACACACAGTAGAGGATATTAACTGAAAAGGGTAAAGCCTGGCAAAGTTATAAACAGTGGAAAGTGATCTTCTGCAGTAATAGTAGTTCTTATGTTTTTCTGCAGTCACAAAACATTCTCAGGTAAACTTGAATTGCTGTGTGTCATACTTTCCAACAGCTAACAGGACAGTCACTTTGAATCAACATGTTGATGCCGTAATTCAGGGTTACAGCTGTTTTCACTTTTTGCTGAAAACACTGCGAGGACCTGTGGAAAGAGTAACAAGAATAAGGGTTAAGCACTGAAAAATGATACTGGTTAGTTACAGGTTTTGTTTGTGTTAGTGCAAGGGCAAGGCAGCTGGTGGGTATTTTTGGGTAGTTTCATAGTGAGGAAAAGGGAACTGATTTCTGATGGATGCAGGAGCTTCATTATGGAAGGCTTTGTGCTCTCCAGATCTGGAGGAAGATGAAAGTGTTTGAGATGCTGGCTCAGGAGCTGTTCTGGGGGATGCTCTGCTAGCGCTGCCTCTCCTTGGGCATCAAGGAAGCAGTGGGACAGTTGTGTTGCGGAGGGTGCACCACTGAGCCTTGGCTGCCTCTTCGTCCTTAGGCTTGATTGCACTGCCCTGTTGTGGCCACCTATGTCTGCATGCTGTCTCAATCAGAAGTGACTGATTTATCTTGTTTGTTCCAGCCCTTACCCCATTTAGCCATGCGTTGCTGCTCCTTTCTGGACCAGTGATTACCATGGGAATCACAAATGCAGTCTGGCTGCTTGTTCTTGGGCATGGAGACCCCAGGTGTCAGGCAGTTTGGTTGGTGTTACTTGGCTGGTTGATAGTTTTTTGTCTTTTTTTCAGTCCTTAATTCTTATGTTTTTTTAATGTATGGTGAGAGAAAGCAAGCTGAGAGGGGATGAAGTCAGCAAGCTGAACTAGTCCAGTGCTTCTCTAATGAGGCATACTTCAGCAACTGGGACTATGGATAGATTGATTCCAATAGTCTCTTCTGGATTGGAAAGCTTTGTTTTTTTTTAAAAAAAAAAAAAAAAAAAATTACTGGGAAAGCACACCATGTTCCTTTGCAGAATTGGGGCGTTAGGGCATGTTGGGGTCAAAGGGCATGCTGGAGACATTGGAGCAAAATATAAGATAAAAACTTACTAGGCTGGTTTTCCATAATGAAATGGACAGCCATCTGAAATCTTTTGGATGTGTGATATTGAAAAAAAATAGTGTAAAATTCTTACAGCAGCGGTCCAAAATAACACTCACAGATTGATACAACTCTGAGCCTACAATGCTGTGCTGATGTCAGTGATGCTGAGTAGCAAGGTAAATAGCGTGTGGCATGTTGATGTTGCTGCTGCAGGAAAACACATCAAAACAGGATTTATGCCAAATGATAAAGACATTGTTTGGCTAAAGAAGTCACAGAGCTTCTAAAAAAGTTTCATAAATAATCGGTAAAGAACACAAGGAAACTGTAGAACAGTTGTAGATATGAAGTGTGATGTCTCATTACAGTTTGACTCTCATTTGATTGGATCAGTAACTGCTTCCACTTAAGTTTGCTATTTCCACAATTAATTTTGTTTCTGCAGAACTGTGCAACTTTATTAAAGTGTAGTTCAGAGTGTGTCTGTGGGGGTTTCTAATGTTTTCATCCTTGATTTTTTTGATTAAACACTACGTAGTGCTATATAAAAAAAAACTTAAAGAAATTATGAGTACATGAAGTCGTAAACAGTAATTTTCTCTTTTCCTTACATTTAAAAAAAAATTGAAAAGCATTAATTCTTAACAGTTTTGGATCTATTTTTGTAGCTGATTTTGGTGTTAGATGTTTAAATGTGAAATAGTTGCTCTTATATCAGTTAATATTGCAAGCTGGAATAGAGCCAATGTAGCTTTGGGAGGTTAGTACTGGATTTTAATACAATATAATCTGTAGCAAAATTTACAGTTTTCATGTAAATACATCTGTTACAGGTGTTTATTGTATTCTTGTTACTAGTTAATTACTGATTGTTTGTAGAAACTATGTTGCAATGTTCTTAAGTGGGAGAATGGATCTGAAGTAAATAGTAAAGGAAAAATATGATTCTAAGTATTTAATTTCATCATTTCATTTTATGCTGCTACAGCAGCATAAAAAAATATTGTACCAGATTTCCCTAGGTTGGCTTATGTTCCCTGACAATGTTGTAATTTAGAGACTACAAATATTAACAGTACGCCTAGCATATTATACAACATTGCATCTGCTGAAAGAATGTTTTCCAATCCCTGCAACTCTTGTGATTTAATACTTCAGAACTGATGTTACTTCTGTGGTACCTACTGAAGTTGCATGACAGCATAAGCTATATCTATGATAAATAAAGAAGCTGTTGAAAAAACTTTCATTAAATCAAATTATTGTCCTCCTATTCTTTGTAACAGCTGAGTGGCCAGAAAATACTTTTATTAGATGGCTGGTGCATTCATTCTGAGATGC